TACATTTTAAAATCACAGAGAAGTCGTGACCAGTAGGGTGCAGCAGGTCGGGTGTGAGGACAAATAATCGTCAAAGACATTGGCTAGGAGTCGCGCTTTGTCGTGAATTGGCAGAAGTTAGAATTCATGGACTGGCCATTTGATCGGGTCCCAGTGGCTTAGTGGTATACGAGCTCGCCTTGTAACCAGAAGGTCCTGGGTTCGAATCCCGGTGGGTGGGTGCGTACTGATGAAGAGTCCCAAACTAGGCCGATGAAACAGTTGTTCAGTACTCCCTGCAGGTTTTCCAATGGTTCTCTAACTAATGTCAGCTCATGATGAAAATCCTGTAACCAATCAAATCCCTACAAACCAACACTTGAAAATCAAACTTGTTGGGCAAACATTCCCCACTCCCTAAACTTACTACTGTTAATCGTGCCAGTAGCGTCCTCAGCGTTAGTTATATTTTCCTTATTTTGCATCTTAATGTCAACTTCATAAATTAATATTTGACTATTCTCGAAATTCTCATTTCAATAGAGCACTTTATGTTTATATTGACTAAGGAATAGCTTGACGTTAACTTCTAAATGCTTATTGGACATCGAATATATTATAAGTAAATGCTATATTGCTAAAGTTTTTAAATACTTTTTGGCCACTATTCATCTTTGTTTATAAATAGTTTGACTGCATTTCATCGGATTTCGTTTCACTGGGGTTATTTTGATAACTGACTAACTGACTGGTTTCGACAGTTCAAGTTTCAACACTCAATGTAACACACAAAGCAAGAGAAGAGAGTAAAGAGAGGTCCAAAAGAGAGATAATAAACAGAAATATTAGGCAGAAAGAAAAGTAATATGGAAGAACAGTAGAGTTTTATTGACTATGTCTACTCACAAACATTGAATGCATCTGCGCCATTGACAACGAGGATTTTGAGCCATATCACCATTTTTCTTCAGCCATTGGTTTTTACCATTCCAAGGACCCCAACCAGTAAGGAAGTCTACACCTTCCTACGTGGCTGATAAACTAACTGTTGTGGATTTCATTGACTGATGGCATGTTTTCGTTTGATCACCACTGGCTCTTTTCCAGCCTGATCCATCCTGTGTCAGCTAACATTGCCCATTGGCGACGAAGGCGATAGCTAGGCTAAGCATTTCAACAGGTGTAACTTCACAACCTCATCAATTGACTTCCCCTCCTTTCCTAGCATTCGACCGACCCGACTTCAATATCGCTCACCCTATTATGCCACTTAACACGGAAGATAGAACACAAACAACTATGATCAAAGACAGCTAGCCGGCATTTTCATGTCTTTCACTTTCAACGGACATGTCTCGTTCACAGCTATAAAGGAGGACGGAGCAGACTGCTGAGCAGTACACACGTCCTTTGGTCGACAGCCAGCCAAATATCACGTCTACGCCAGAGATGGCGTAATTTCGCATATGCCAAACGAGCATTCTGCATCCATGCTGAGATTTCGTCAGTGATCGACCCGTTGTGGCTGATGCAACTCCCCAAATAAGTGAAGTGGTTAACACGCTCCACCACTTCACTCCCTATCTTTAAGCTAGAAATCGATGCAGTCCAGTCAGTCCTGTAGCATCATCTTACATTTGGCAGGACAGAATCGCATGCCAAACATTAAAAGATTGCTGCTTAAGTTGTTCAGAAGACTCTGCATTTTGTCAGCGTCTTCACCTAGATGGGAGGAGTATATCAAATGCATATTCTAAGTCAACGAGATTATTCCTTGGTGGTAACAAGTCAATCCCTAAGTCACTTGTTTTGATAAAGCTTCGAGAATATAATTAGGCATTCGAATTTTCAAATGTAATTTAAAAGAAGAAACAAGCTGTCTATGAGAAAAAGGTTCATTGTTGCCAGACTGGATCTATCATCTTTTTAAACTTGTTTTGCAGTAAATCATACGGAAAGGTATGACTTGTACGACATAATAAATGACATGCTTTTACTACACTTAACTGTACATGATCTTCTATGATTTCAGTTAGTCAAGTTTATGGAGAACACTTGACCGGAGACTTAAAACCGGTACTTTTCTTAACTATCCACCCAATATCTAATGACAGGTATGCCAAGATTTGTATGCGTCTGTGGTTAAATTTTTGAATACTCACCAGAAATGTGAGAAATTCGGATTCGATTCCCAACTGATGCGCTGCTAAACCTCATAGGTAATGAACTCAGAAAAGAAGGAAGGTTGTGTATGGAGCTAGAAACCTCATCAGGTAAAGAAACAACACCAACGCTACTGAAGCTGTAAAAGCTTGAAGCTCCATGTTCCACTCAGAATGCAAAGGAATGAGAACAAATATACTAAGAGTTGTGAAATCAGGTAAGAACTAGAAATTACATGGATTTTGATGTACTAAGATATGCATCAGAACTGTTTCTTTAAGAAAACTAGTGATGATAACAAATGATCAAAGTAGAAACAAGTCGACAAGGCTTCAAACTTCTGACCTACTAAATAAGAATTGATCGTTTAAATCAAATTTCACAAAACTAGACATTTTAAAACGTCCAAGTGAGTGAATCTCTGTACATTAGATACTTTCTAAATTGACAATACCTCGATCACTAATGATGAATATTCCACTTTTTTATCAAATTTGAAAAAAAGCAAACAACAAATTCATTTTTAATTACCTGTTAAAAAAGAGGTACGATTGGCAACATCTGATAATATTACCAAACAAAATATTATTGGTTCACTAACCATTTTACCTTCCTTAAAAAATGTTTAAATCTTTTTGTAATTCTTAATGCTAAAGGCAGGTGATATTCATGAAAGATAAGCATCAAGATTTTATGCATGGTACTGAATTCCTTTATCTTATTTTTAGAACAGTAACATGCTGTGCTTGTGTTAAACACAAGTCATGATGAATGTGATATGATAATGTATTGTAGTTGAAAATTAAGAGCGAAACATTTAAGATTTTACCAGATCGGCAAAAATAGACAAATCATAATGCTTAACAGTTTTGTTTATTCAATTTAAAGTGCCAATAAGCCCCTTGACTACTTCGAGTGTTTTTTTATAAAGTCTTTATGAAACTCAGGAATTTCATCCTACACCTTGAATCAATTTGTTATCCTGTGGAGGTGAAAGCTGTCAATCTAAATCAAGTCCATAAACTCTGTTGTATTTACTCGTGAAAAAAAGCATAAGGGAATACCGATTTCTGTAGTATAACTGGAAATGTATTGAATTAATGAAAATTCTTACCATCGCTTGCCTTTTCCAGTTGCTTCTTATACAAATGAATCAAATCTAAATAAACTAAAATATTTATTGCTGAAGGAAACTATAACGGTATCTAGTGAAAGCAGTAACGGTAACTATCGATACTACATACTACTGACTAATCGACATGAGTAGTTGGATACTAGTTACAGTAGTGCTTGCTAGCCGGAGCCAAATAATCGAAACACCGAATGGCTCATTCGGCGTTTGAGGCCGTGCTCGTCACTGGTGTAATTTTTCTCATATCTACATAAACCTTTTACTAAACAACATCAGTTGGAAAAAAGCCGATATCAGAAGCAAGAAGACTTGGACAGCTACTTAGTACTGAACTGTGAATTGTCGGGGATGTACCAAAAAAATCTCCAGAGAATGTTGAGGGCAGAACTTTCAAGAGGACTTTATCACCATTCAGACAGTAAGTTACGATTCAATGGTGGATCAATTAGTAGTATAACGTGGCCATCATATGAAATCATTAGTGGGGAACTATCTTGAAATTTGGTTTGGTGGTGCAGAATCATTCACAGGTTATTTTTTTCTTTTTCCATTTAGTATCCCTGAAGAACGCTAAATCAACATATTCATAAATAATAGTGGAACTGAAAAGCATCTGGACTAGAAATTATCGATTATGCCACTGAATTCATATCAAGATTTGCATACTGCTTCACATAACGGTTTAGTAGATATGTCTGGTTCATAAATGAGAAAAAATTCCCTACTCCAAAGTATTTGAAGAATCATTTCAAGAAGAATAACTCGGTAGTACTTTCAAAACATTCTGCGAATATGCAGGCGTCCAAATTTTACAGAAACATAATATATGCTTCGAAACTTAGTTTATATTTCATAAGAAAAGCTTTTAGATTCGTTCGACATTCAGTGGCAGTATTAAGACAATTTGATTTTAGCATAACAGTAGAAATGTCATCAGTGATGCATACTGAACTGCTCTTTCAACCGCATAGGTCCTGTATCATTATTCAAACTGTCATGTAAATAATCACTAGTTCATGCTCAGAAAATACTGTCGATTGGGCAGGCAAAATAGTAACCCTTAAAAATAATATTTTTACTTCATAATGAAGCTAGAGAGATCTCTTCAGTACTTATGCCATAAACTCAAGTTTATAAAGTAAATCTACGACGAACTGTTGAAATATTACACGTTAATTAAAATGATCAGTCGGATACAGACGTAGACAAAATATTCATGCAGTACTAAAGTATGTTGGGTGTAAATGGAATGAAATTTCAAAAATAATGACAACTACTAAGTTGCTGAAACTTTTTAAAGAATCTTCAATCTGTTCACTTCAAGCGCTTCTTTATTACTTCAGATTATGTAGAATAAATCGACGTCTTCCTATTGAAGTGACAAAGAAATTATTTCAACTTTTTTAAGGTAAAGACGGAAACTTCAAATATGCAGAATGAAGTTGTGATTGATATAGTTCCAATCCAATTGATGAATACAAATTATAACAGTCCTTTATCACTCCGATCCATCCCCCCTTCCATATCAAACTGTTAACTCTATAAAGTCTAAATGAAGCATCTTCAAAAGATACGTCACGATGTGATTCTTTAGTTAGTGGTTTGTCAGTTCTTTAGACAGTTCAGTTTTATGATGGCATGATAATGCAACTGGCAATTGATAATATAACTGTTACATAAACTGTACAATATAAATTACTTAAAATGTTCCAAAAGATTAACACACCTCAACTTTGGCTCTCAACTGCTGACAAGCTAGACGTTCTACTTCATTTTCTTCAAAGTATTCGTCATACTGAACCTAGTCGCGGTAACAGAGTAAACGAAAACATGAAAATCTTAAAGTTAGTAATAATAATAATAAATAGTACAGTAAAATATTAATGGTAATAAACATTAATTGCCTACCATTTCACGTAAATTTATTATTATTATCTTACTCCTTTGCATCCCGAATGGAACATAAGGCTTCAAGCTTGAACTATGAAGATATTACTTTTTTTACAGGCTGGGGTTGCTAGCCTTACAGCTCAACTTTCCCTCTCTTTTGCAGGGCTTACTACCAGCTAAGCGATTTGTAGAAGTGGGTCTGCCGAAGGTCGAACCCTGGAAATGTGAGTTGATGAACATTTTACCGCCGAACTACCGACGCACTGGAGGGAGCTCCTGGGTACGGACCAGGAACCTCTCCATCTCGGGTAGGAGAAAAATCACAAGAATCACTTAAAATTGACAAATTTGTAGTGAAAACAAAAAATTTCGGTTGTACAACTCTTACAATTTGCTAGCCTTAACAAGTATTCTTGAGTATAACCTTTGTCAGTCATGTATATGTTTCATCGTTACAGACAGAGTTAAATAACTGTTATTTAAGACCTCATTTATGAAATTAAGCACCAATAAGTAATTTTTCGGAAATCATGTTAAAGTATTTCGTCTACTTAAACAAGATAACTCAGTATTGAATCTGGAAATGAATAAGTTTCGCTTTAAAAAACCCAACTCTAAGTACACATTGTTATGCATTCGAAATTAAACATAGCAGTGCATATCATCAGATAATGCTTCATTGTATGATTCTGGTAGGTTGCATTCCCTTTCCTATACAGCACTGACCACACAAACGTCAAAAGTACCCCACTGCTGGTGATTTTGTTTTGAATAACCATGACAGGTAATTTTAGCATACAACCCTACTTAAATACTTGTAAGATATTATAGAGATTTCATAAAAGGTTTTGCGTAAAAACCTTAAGAATACCATTCATTAAATCTTCAAATCGTCTACGTAATTCTAAATACCACAGCTAAAACTTTACCCGCTTTCTGTAGTAAATCTTTTGTGACCAAGATAAAAAGAAAAGAATATTTTCACTTAACTGGTATAACTTAGCACTGATGTCTATTTATGATATGCCACTTTGGAATATATTACACCATGTTCTAGCCTACGCTAAGTATAAGAGTTACTGAAATTTACTAATTAACAAAAAATATCCTTTTTAATTTTAAAATGACAGTTTCTCATTATCAAGGTGTACCATTGTATGTTTGTATTGTATTTCTCTGTTCCAAACTTGTAACTAGTAAAAGAAGATACTGCAATCATACATTTGATATTCCACGTCTCTTTACGTCAGTATGCTGCAAAAGAGGAACAACTACACTTCCCTACGTCTATAAATTAACTAAAATATTTTTCATTCATTGTGTAAAATGCATAAGAAAGCTGTTGATCTACATAAAATGGATCAACCTAGTTGAGTGTACCTGAAAAATGTCATCAGTAACTAGTATAGCTTCGTTTATGATGGCTAGCAGTGGAATCCATGACCTGAGTTTCGTCGTGTTAACAACTCGTCAAGTGGATACACATTCAGATTAGTGAGTAATGGCGTTCCCACTGAAACTAGGACTAAACAACCACCGATCATTTGAAACATCAGAGTGTACACCAATAAACCATTGAGACACAACAACCACCACTTGCGCAACGGTGAGGACACAATCACCGATTAGGATGCCGGTACTTTCAGCCCATCAATTCCAAAAAGAGCGATAAGGACATCCTGAATTTCACTGTTAGCCACCATAAACCAACACTTTGTTGACGTCAAGGTCTCGCCGAAGAGCTCCTAGTTATCATCATCTACCAATTAATTACTGTTGATAAAACTTCCTAACCGAAGTGAAAGTTTAAATTTCATATGATAACTTTATCAAAAATTATATCATCAAACTATAAGTTATTGTTTCACACTGTAGAATTTCTTAAACATGAATTAATAAATCGACAACGACATTATCGAACGCTGAAGACGGCTTTTAATCCCATCCATCGACAGGTAATGTCTGGATGTAAAAGAAGTGCCAAGAAAGTATACTGTACTAATCAAGACACACTACTCGAATTTATACAGCCGTCTAAGAGTTTATGGAGAGTTGTTAAATGATGTGTTGATGAAATCTCAGCACGGATTCAAAATGCTCGTTTATTATTTGCCAACTTTAGAGCACAGGTATGATATCCCTTTTTACATAAAAAGAAACTTTATACCATTCAACAGTTTGCCTGAACCTTCTTTACGCTTGTAGGATGTGACTGTCAAGTGTAGAAAATATGAAAAGATCAATCGTCTTCGAAAGAGGTGTCTTCACTCAGTATATAGTACTGAGTGGTAAAAGAGAGTTTAGGAGTAGTCATAGGTAAGGATGAAAAGTCACTGAATGAGCTTGTGAAACATTATTGACCAAAATGTCCAGAAAATGTGTTGCACATACCAAGCCACCACCTCCGAAATTCAGCAATGAAAACTGATACAGGAAGGGATAGAAAAGGATTAGCGGTAGTGATCAAAAATATGGTACCAAGCCACGAAGTCACTGACTGCTGCTTTGAACCACGAAGAGAGGTTCAGCCTATATGGCTTGGGTCATTGATTTGCTAAGAATCAACGCCTGGAGTTTGCTGGTGACTAAGCTGAAAATCATTCTCGCTAGTGCAAATGTATTCATCCACTATATTATTCCAGATTCTAAAAATCCTCATTACTCTTCATGCAATTCTTCTATTCCCTGTATATTTAAGTCTTTTGTAGGTTTGTTGCAATTCTCTACTTTTATGTATGTTTTTGTAAAATGAGGTAACTTGAACTGATGTTCTCTTGTTCAAAGTTTTACATTGACAAATTAGTTCAGTTCCAAGAAAAATACCACACTACGATGTCCACCCACATAATAATCCTGCAAACATTAATGTTTAAAGGTGTATATTGTCAAATCTGGAAAGAATTTTACTTTATAAAATATTCTTCTTTTCTCAGTATACAAAAATAAAATATACTATGTAATGCGTATTGCAAAACTTATCTTCTAACACTGTTGTAATCTTTTCAGCAATTAAAAGAAACCGGATTTCTTATACATGCTAAGCAGTTGATTGTTCAACAAAGCTGTCTCTAGACTATTACTATAGCTAAAATCGCATGAATATTCATACAGTAGCTGACTCAAAACACCAGTTTGGAACACCGTATTTTGGTGACAGCTGGACGGTAACGAGTTTGTGAGCCACTAACTTTAACATATACATATAACTAGAAAATGTCATGCAGGAATACGTATTTTACAAGAATCCCTTTCATGTATTTTTCTTTAATTATGAAGATTTTTCGGAGAATCTACGTCTAACTTAATAGCTAAATCCTTATCCTTTTAGATAAGGAATAACTTTGGCGCTTAGAGATGTTTGACAACTAATTTCTAGGCGTCTTTTGACTTCAGAAGTCTGGCACTGAAAATGGGAGTTAAAACATTGCAGTGGATAGAATCGGTTTATTTTCGGCGACTACTTTTTATCCGTAAAAACTTTTGAGAGAAAAATACGCAGTTATTCAAATTAATAAGGATTCTTAGGCTTTAGATTAGATCAGTTTAAAGTTTTTCTCAGTTGGATTCTAAGTATTTAAGAACCTAGACATTTTTTTAAATACCGACCAAAAATATGTATATGATGAGCTGCGAAAAAGTAGAACCAAACTGAATGTTAGATGAAAAAGTATTTGGGCGTATTTCTGTAGAACCTGAGGAAGTTATAAACAAGAATACTGTTTGTTCAATAATCAATGTTTTAAACCATATATATATATGAAAGAAAAGATGCATATATAGGGTGCCATAAGTGTAAACTCATTTATTACATCTGTAAGTACTACATTTTGTCTTTTTGTTTAACATTTATTTTTCAAGATACTTTGGCAGTATTCATGAATTCTCACTGACTTCTGTCTACACTTTTAATTACCGGAAAAGATTTTTCACTATCTTAGGAAGGGCTTAAAACTGTGAGCCATTTGAGACGTATCTTTTATTGTTTTTCTATAATAATGTCTGACTGATTTTCAGTATTGTTCTCTGCACAGAAGTGCAGCAGTTCAAGCTTCCAAACTCCTTGCTCTACGGAGGTAGAGGAAAAAAATAACCTAAAAGAACTATAATGAGCAGAAGTGTAGGGGAGAAAAAACAGTAATACGACCTAGAAGACTGTAAAAGGTGGGTGCATGTGCACCATTAGGAGCGGTTTTGAGGAATTTCACCAGCAGTCTCAAGCCATTGGTTCTTAGCATCCTGAGGACCCCAGCCAAACATTCTACACCTCCCTACGCGGTCGGCTAAAACCAACAGTCAAAGACTTCATGGACTGGTGCCAGGTTTGACCGCCCAGGACACTTTTTCAACCTAACTCCAAGTCATTTGTGATTGTTCAACGTGGAAGGAGGTGGAGCGACATGCTTAACACAATCAGTGAAGCTTTACAATCTCTACAACTGACTTCTCCTTCTTATCTGACACTGGACTCCTAGCCTCAATATTACTCACTGTACTGTACCACTTAACAGGAGGAATATGATGCAAATACTTGTGGTCTGAATGTATTTTGCAATATATGTATGAATGAGCTAAATATCTAAGCATTATCAATACCATTAAAGTGCAGTCGTCGCCTTGATAAGAATGTTTGGTGTAGACAGAAGAAAATTATACAATTCATCCATAGAGAATTCCCAAAGCCCATTTCACATTAACGCTAGCGCTGATGATGTCATCTAGAAACATAATGAAATCTTTGTAATTAAATCACTTAAATCAGAGGACAATAAAACACTTAAAAACATCCATTTTAGCTACAAAGCTTCTCCATTATTTAAGAGCGCCGGTGTACATATTTTAGACATGAAAGAATATTTTAATGCATAGTGTAGACACATTCCCAGATAGACGATTGATTACAGACGACACTGT